CATCCCTCCATCCCTCCATCCCTCAATCTCTCCATCCCTCCATCCCCCCCATCTCTCCATCCCTCCATCCCTCCGACCCTCACGTTCTCGATCACTCAAGACCCAAGAGGTCGTAATCACTTAATCACTTATACTTACAGATATCTTAAGTTTGTGTTGTTTTGGAAGGTGAGTTTATGCAGTTCCTTTATTTTGTTACTGCGAAGGCTCCTTAAACATATCATGCGACATTATTAACATTGTACATACTGCCCCGCTGTTTTAACTATTGATAATAAGTTGCGATTCTGCCGTTTACAGTCAAAACCTCTGAACTAGCTGAATACTTACAAAGCACGGAGAGCTGGAAAACCGGAAAAGGTATCCATTTCAATGCTTGAAATCAAATTTTGTCCMAAATCTCTGAAATGTTGTTAACAAAGCATTACCGTAAGGAGCGTTCTTTTTGTGTCAATATACATCCTATCAATACTTCTAGTTTTATACTTACATTACTTCAAGTCCCCCGACACCACTGAACATGTTTTTCTGCACTTCTTTGATGAAATTCCTATTAAGCCGTCTACAAGTAAAATAGGAGCTCAGAAAGAGGAATATTTTTCAAAAAATTATTACTATACAAAAAATCAAGACGTTTTGAAACTAATGGATCTGACTTAAATAAAAACGGTAACGGAGGTAAACCAAGAAGGGACTGGTAACAAAGGTGTCTCAACTAAGGGACACAAGGCGGCTCAGTTCTTTTCTTATCTCCCTTACCTCAACCGGCAAGCTCCACAGGTGGAAATTAGAGTTCATTATTTCTTTACACTTTAGAAAAAAAACTAGAAATTTAGTATTGACTTACAAGGTCTTTAACGAATGTAGGTTTACAAGAGACATTTCTCCAATCAAAAATATTCGATTATAGCTCAAGTCGCTGAAACAGAAAAAAGCAAAACAGATATGAATAATTAAATGAACAGAAATAAATAAATAGTGCATAGAGTGGCGGATCTAGGACAATTTCAAAGCGGTTGGCTGTTAACCAAGAATCAGGTACAGTTCACTGTATTTAAAGCGGACATCCTCGGGACCGTCAATGGCTGTCCGTAAAAGCAAGAAAGTTAATTAGGGTCTTTTCTTTGTCATTACTTTTCGCCGGGGATTCTGGACTTCCCGTAATAGCGAGGTGCCCGTAACATCGGGGTGTCCACAAGACGAGAGTTTACTGCATATACCACTTCCTCTCTAGATTTTATAGAATTTTTTATTTTCATTTTGAAATGTCCAAAGTTGGCGATATATTGCCAGCCACATAATCAACCCCTTATCCCTCTCCCTTTTGTAATGATATACTCACATCAAAGATAGATAACTTTGTTTTATAAATGCATTGCTTTCAACTTGGTAAATCTTATTCCCTCCAAATAATCTATAAATAAAAAATGATGATGAAATCGTACTT